GACTAAAGCCTTTATGACATGGAAGTAGCTGGTATACCTTGGCATGTGCTGGAACCTGCTGGAAGGATTGGATGGTCAGGTGACCTGCTGTGCATGGCTGTGCATGACCTCATATGACCTCATCCTTGGTCATATGACCTGATCACCTGACTAGGCTGAGTAAGCAAGATGTTCTAGCAGGTTCCACCACAGAGGTATAAATATAAGGCCTACTCTGCCTGGGACTGTCTCTTCAGACTTGGTCTCTTAGGATCATCCACAGGTACCTATACTGTAGATAGGTCTTAGTCATCAGGTCTACTCCACTTCCTTGTTGCCTGCTTAGACTCTTGGTACTCTTAGGTGAGCAGACTTAGTCAGCCTGTGTTGCCCTAACACTTGTTATGTTCCAGCTGCAGTGTGGCACTCAGTGGGTGGGGGAGTTATGTGATGTGTTCCAGCATGTCCAGCCAGGTCTGTCTGGTATGCAGACATTTGTCCTCATTGCCTGGCTAGTCCCTCTTCAGGCAACCCCACAACATGCATCCCTTTATGACAATCTGTAGGTCAAGTGCTAATTCATAATGAAATTGTGCTGACAAGATTCTTTACTGTAGGAAGGAACTAGAAGTCCACTTCTGGCAGCACAACTGCTACCAAACATTCGACAATGACTTTGGTATTCAACCACTGCTTTTAGCATGTGATCTCTGCAGGTTTGCAGCCCATTGTATGCTTGAGGTCAAAGGCCAACTGATGTGGATCACCACAGGGCTCAGCAAAGTATGTGGTAGCACTGTTGACATGTTGAATTATTTTTGAAACTAATTGTGGTACAGAATGGGCACTATCTATAATGCACATGCAATTTTTTTAAGAAACCATTTTCAAGTTTCACTGGTACTTTTCAGACTTCTTTTTGGATGACACAACCACATTACACGTCAAGGATCAAGGATTCTGCAATCAAGCGATAAGCAGCAGCACACAAACAAGGAGTTGGGATATTCCAGGCGGCGTTCCCAGTTCAGGAGGTTGGGTAAGATGTTCTGCTTCCAGTCCTTGTTGATCATAAACTCATATGGTGCACAGGTGGGCAAGAGCTCAGAGGTACAGCTGAGATTGATTCACTTCTTTTCTTGCAGCTTATGATTGCCTTTGTGCAACCTCTTCCTGCTATACTGGGTGAGAAGACCTTTCTCCCACTCCCAGAACTGATCAAGCTAAGTGGTTATCTGTATTTTAACAATGTACTTACATTTTTGCTCTTCCAGACTGGGCACTTCACTTTGAGCACTTGAAGATCAGGATTGTCATGTTCCTCTTGAGTGATCTTCCCCATCTCGAACAGAAGCTGTTGCCAACCTGCATTCTTTGTGCCATCCTCGTCACAAGAGCACTCATCCCCCAGCCAATCCTCATGTGCCAGATCATCCTTGATGGCCTCATACTCTAGGTGGTTGTTGTCAGCAAAGTCCCTTAGTGCTTGACGGAGCTTGGCTGCTTTCTGGGAGAAGGTAAGAGTTTTTTTTGCTCATTTCTGTAGAGGGAAACTGACAGTCCTGCACCTCTCATACCTCCTCTGCACCCTGCCATCAATGACTAGCTGCACTCCGCCATTGTCCTTTGCCTGGTTCTACTTCACCCAGACTGACTTCATGTGTGGCCAGCTCCTCCAGGCAAGGGCCACAAGAACATGTTTATCAAGCCAAGTGTCACAGAGCTTGATGGGCACTCAGCTGTCTTCACCCTACACAACCAGATGAGTAAAGTGGTTGTGCTGACTGTGAAGGCATGCAACTGACCATTTCTTGTTGGTAGACAAAGTCCACCACACATCTCTGATCTTTATGTTGGCATTGGCATTAATTCCACCCTTGAAGTCAGGCTCCATGTAAGTTCCAAGCTCTTCAACAGGTGATTTGCCCTTGTTGGGCATGGTCCCTTCTATGTGGTAGCCAATGTCCACATACATTTGGTTGCGCAATTCCATCTGCATGAGCCAAGTTTAATGCTTGAAGAGTTGGGTGGCATTGCTGATGCCTACCTGCAGATACCTGCTGACTGTTCCCTCTTCTGGATCAAGCTGGCTCTTAGGAATGTCAGTAACAAGAGGGTGAGAACTCTTGCTTGACATGGAGTGATCTACTGATGACAAGGTAGGTCTCTGTTTCTTCTTGGGACACAACTGTGCCTCCTCAAGCTGACAAATTTGCTTGTTGAGAGAGACAATGAGGGCATTGTCAACCTGAACAATGCCCTTTCTGGAGGGAAAAAGGCCTGGGCTGGGAGAAATGTTGAAGAGGGAGGAAGGACTGCTTTGAGGAGAACAATTGGGAGTAGGAAGATAGGGAGAGGAAGGGGGCTGGGAGAAGAGGTGCTGGGATTGGGTCTGAGAAGCTGGACAAGGAGAGGAAGATGCAGAAGGAAAGTAATGTGGTTGTGCTGACTGTGAAGAAGACAACTCACTTTTCTCCCCAGTCACCTCCAATCTCACTCTCCAGTGCATGCCACTTTGCTGCAATCATCATTCTGAGGGCAAGTTGACCAGGCTCCTGGCTCTGCAAGTCATATCTGACTGCAAGGAGTTCAAGCTCAGCAAGCATCATCTTCACATCAAGCTTCATTGCTCAAAGATACACATGGTCTTGAGAAGTGGGAGAGAAGGAGAAGGAGCTGGAGGACATCTTGGCACCATCGTTGGAGTAGCAGAAGGGGTGAGGTGTATGCGGAGGGGTGAGGTGTATGCATTAGGCTGGAATGAGGGCTATTATAGGTGAGCAAAGGCAAGCTGAGCCTGTCTGTGATAGCTGGTCATAAGACAGCATAGGCTAGAAATTTACTTGATTTGGAAAGATAATCAGTGATGGTCAGGGCTGGTGCATGTCATAGTCCCACTGACATGGTCTGGGCAAGGTAAAGATCAGATGTCATTGCTGGTCCTATCCTAGCTATCTATGGTATACTATCTGCTACATGGCTTAGGATAGCATAGAGCAGACTGTCAATAATATCTTTTCTACCCAAGGAAAAGATGAGTTGCTATTCTTGAGGTCAGGTGACCTTGCCTTACCTAGTCTGGCCCTTGACCAGGGATACCCTTAATGCAGTGACTTATCGTTGACCTGCGGCAAGTCGAGGGTTCCTGTAGCCACATCTGTGTCGAGTCGTTGATAAGGGGAGAATAAAAAAGTGGCATGAATTGTCCTGCCGCGGCCCTATATATTACATGTATGATAGTCTAATGGAATCAAATTCCAGTGCCTTAAGGCTGCGCAAGGGTTCTGCACTGCCACTCTCGGCACGTGGGAGGTTAATTATTGGCGAAAGAAGATCCGAACAGAGAATTGTAGATATGCTGGACCCAGCACATGGTCTGCAAATTCTTGGACGTCCTCCCTTCCTTGTACAGTCTGGCGAGTGGCAGGAGAGGGGAATACGAGCTAGGACAAGCTTCGAGCGTGATTGGCGCAGTTTGAGGCTGACGAAGCTCTGGGGTCATGACGACTTGACGGGAGCTCATGCTGATTCATGGTTGTTATTGAGCTGGGAGATACGCTCAAGGGTCATTTGCAGTACCTTGAAGACAGCAGCAAAGCCGTGGAAGCGTTGGGGTGAGAGAGCAAAACAACATTGGTATTGGTCATGATTGAGCTAGTCTCTGGCTGGGGATGAAGAGCTAACGTTTACGTTGTTGTTACAGATTACAGATTCGTGAGCGGCTGGCACGGGTGCTCGCAGGTCATACATACGTTTGTGCATGTTCTGCGTAAAAAGACAGATAGACTCATTCACCACATATGAAACGCGGGGGGACGCCGTCTTTGCTCGAGTTCAACGCGTAACTGGCAAGCGAGGCCGTTGGATAGCGATACAGGGGTGGGATAGGAAACATGCAGTTGGGGATCCCCTGCATGCGTTGTATCATTATTCGATAATAACAAACAGTGCACACCGAACGGGTGATATTCTAGTTGGTAGTATACCATCTCTGGCGGACCTTTTTACTTTCCACCTACGCAAGACGCAGATCAGGTCATATCCTCATAGGAGGGGAAGGAAGGCACGCACGATAGGTTTGACAATAACGATCGCGACGAGCAAGCCAAGCACGGTAAGGATGAGCTGGGTCTTGTTAAAGTTCTCACCGAGGATGTCGAACGTGCTAGACGGTGAGAGTCGGGCGAGGAAGATATCCAAGCCGGAAGCGAGTAAGAGGGAGGTGGATTCCAGCGCCGTGGGTGTAGTGGACAGGCTGCTGATGCCCATTATGTGCAGGTTTTGGGAAACAGTCCGGCGCGGATCGTCGGTTATGACAGAGTCGAACGGGATTAGGAGCTCTTCTTTTTGTTCTGAGGTGAGCTTGCCTGAGGGCCGACGGGGGTCGAGGAGCGCATGAGGATATGCCTGGATCTGACCGCGGTCGTTGGCGACTGGGAGACGTACGACAGGGAGAGGGAGTCAGAGCGTGAGTAGGCATAACGCAACGCAGCGTATGTACACACCGACGACGTCCTTGAGCGTAATGCCATACTTTGTCAAAGTGGTCGTGACCGCCTTCCAGGCAGAAGGGACTCCGTAAGTCTGGGAAATCCCATGCACGCGGGAGGAGTTGCTCGCAAAGCCAGAAAGTTGGGCGCTGTACATGATGAGCGGCAGCCGGGAGACGAAAGGGAAAGGGAAAGCAATAGAAGTTAGATGTTTGACATACCTCCGCGTAATCTCATCCGGCTCCCCTTCATACAGTTCCACAACAACCACTCTCCAGCCCTTAGTCCTCCCCCCCTCCCCCTCCCCCTCCCCCTTCCCTTTCCCCAGGGAAACCCCCGAATCCCCATCATTCCAAAAGACCCACACAAGCCAATTATCCGCCAACACCGGTTTCACATCACACGCCCTACCCCGGGGTTTGCGGACAGAGGCGGAGTAGATGATCGACCCGCTGATTTGGTCTACAAGGTGGATGCCGCACCTGATCTCTATCTCCCCTTCCTGCTCCCCCTCCCCCTCCACGGGGTACTGGGTCAGGGCGACGACCAGGTGAGGGTTGAGGTACTTGTATAGCGTCTGTTTCGTCCCTAGTACCCGACCGAGGGAGGCGACCGGCCCACGAGGAGGACGTATAAGTCCCAGAAGCTCAGATTTAGGGGAAGGGGTAAGGAACGTGCGGTATGTCGGGACAGAGGCGAACCCGTCAGCGTCAGGAGAGGGGAGGAGCGTGAAACCCTGCAGTGCTGCTTGGGAGGAGGATACATCACCCGTGTGAAGGGGAAGGGAGAAGAAGACTCCTTCCCTGCTCCTGCTTGCTAGGGCAGCTTTGCGCGCTTCGTCGGTAGGGAAGAGATACACTTCCCCGGATTGGGAGACGATGACTACTGTCTCGTTATGACTCGTGCTCTGGGGGGAGGGAGAGGGAGATGGAGGGAGGACAAACGCCTCCGCCATCGGACCGGGGAAGAGCGTAAGCCCAGGAGTAGTACCTTCCCTTCCAGGAGGAGGGTAGATCGTCCCTGTAAGGGGGTCGATACTCCATGCAGCGGTTTTGAACCCCTAGAGCGGAGTGCGTGAGCGATGCCGTACGTCTTGGGGAGGGGAAAGCGGAAGGGACGTACGTGTTCGTCCCACCTCCGGCCGAGGACGACCCACCCAACCCCTGCGACGCTCAATATGCGCTGGACGTCTACCCTCCCCATCCCGCCCGGTGCTCCACTCACCCCAAGGATCTGCGACCAGAGGACACCGCCCGGGGCGCCAGGGGCCGAAGGGGCCGTCTCGAGGGCATAGAGTTTCCCGGAAGAGGAAGCGACGAGAGCGAGCTTGTTGAGTGCTGATTGCTGGAAGCTGGCTGAGGGAGGGAAGAGGGAGAGGGAATCGGTGAATCGGAGGAGGAAGGAGATGCCGTATCCTGGGAGTTTCTGCGAGAGGGTGAGCAGGAACGGGACTCCATGCAGTACACTGCGCAGGGCAGGACAAAATGGGTGAAAGACTAGCGCACCCAGATTGAGCCTAGCTGACGAGCCCACTTCTCCCCCAACCCCTCCGGTGCGTCCCCCACACCTCTCTCTCCCAAGCCCATCGCACTCCCTCCCCCTCCCAGCCCCAGCCCCAGCCCCAGCCCCCCTGGCGCAGCTAGCCCTCTATCAGCCCACCCCACCCCCCCCACCAACTCGGCCAGCCCCTCTTCCCTCGTCCACTGGAGTTGGTCAGCCTGCCACAGCTGGATCGACCCTGTGGATGTGGTTATGAGGAAACGGGGGATGGGTTTCTGAGGTTGGGGTTGGGAGGGGGAGAAGGCGACTTCTAGTGTTATCTGGGGAGGGTGAGTGGGGTGTTGGTGCGTTGGGGAAGCAGGGAGGGGGGAAGAAGGGGCGAAGCGAAAAAGTGCAGAGGGACGAGGGAGGAGGGACGTACGGTACATATAACCCCATGCGACTTTGTATCAAACGGGAACGTAAATCCCGAGACCATGCCCCCACCCTTCCCCCCCGGGCCCATCTCGCTCCACAAATGGATGCTTGCCAACTTTGCATCCCACCCAATCCAATCCAATCCAATCCAATCAGCTCTCTTCCCATAAGCAAGAGGAAGGAACAACTCACGCCAAACGTATGCGTCCAGTACACCCGGGCTATATGTCTCCCCCCCAACCTATCCACCGCGCCCGCAAACACGCTTTCAGTATACATTGCCGAGCGAGCCGAGTCCGCATATTCCCACATCTCTGTCAACCCCCCCTCCTGGGTAGCAAGGACACACGCAGAACCGTCTTCCTTTACTCCTACTACCAGCCCTGGGGTAGGGGGGAGAGGGATCAGCTGGGCATATTTGCCTGGGAGAGGGTGGGGTTTGGAGGAGGGGGGAAGGGGGAGGGAAATGAGTCCCCCCTGGGAAAGATGCGCCACCACCCCCGGATAGAGCAGCACAGGGTCAGGGTCGTTATGCAGCGGCGCGAGCGCGGGGAGAACGGTCCTCTGCAGGAGGGCCCCGGAGTGGGAGAGGACGACATGCACGGGCTGCGCTTTTGCGTGCGCTGTGTCTAAGCCTAGGAGGTGGACATGCGACTCTGTAGTGAGCATTTGGAGGAAGAGTGTTTCCCTTTACGTGGTCAGCCGAGCCGGAGTGTGAGCGAGAGGGGGAGGGGTGCGTACCCTTCGGGAGTGAACGTCCAGTCCACGGTGTGGGAGATGCTGAACACCCTGTTTTCGTGTAGCACAAACAGGGAGTCCTCTGCCCAGGAGATGGCGCACCCGACGTTCCCCATGCTCGCGGTGTCGCTGTCCGATTCGGAGGGAAAGGGAGGGAGACGGATATCGAGCTGTATCTCTCCTGTGTGAGGTGTGTATACTCGCACGTGTGAGGAAGAGAGTGCTGCTGTGCCTGTTGGTTGTTAGTGGGGAGGACAGGGAGGGAGGAGTAAGGAAGGCGTACGTTTCCCCTGACTAGCATGTGCACAAACCCTTTCATCTTCATGTAACTGTCTCCATACTACTTCTTTCAGCCCAAGTGCCAAGTGGAGTAAGAGCGCGTACCTATTTCCCCATCACCTGGGTTTATACCTGCCACCACTCTTTCATTAGCGAGTACGATGACTGTCTTGTTCTCACCCTGTATGCGGTGGATTGATGAAGGGAGAGAAGGAGTTCCGATTAGTTTTGTATGCCATATAGGAGCATAAGAGGGGAGTGCGATCACTGTCACTATGAAGGAGAGGAATGTGACGATGTGCATGACGTGCATGACGTGCATGGTGTGAGATGGAGAAGGGACGTGGAGAGTGAAAGAGGGACCCCATGCTTAACACCGATAGACCTCACCTCACCTCTCCCCATCACCGGTCGGACATCGCACTCCCTTTTAGTTGAAATAGTGTATTGCTGATGACTGCCCCGAGAGACGTAGACCAAACCGATGGGCATGCGGACTGGATTGCAAAGGGAAAAGGATTGGCTTCCATGGCACATCCATTGAGCACCGAACGGATGCAACGAAGGTCACATCGGGCACCTGTGATGATTCATAGGCACGTGACAGCTTCTTCTCCCATCCTCTCTTTCAATTCCTTATCCGCCAGCTTCATATGCCATCCTTTGCAGGTAGAGGGAAGGGATATACATAGGAATGAAGGTGTACTTTTTTGGGTAGGAATGACCAGTGCTGATTCGCTGGTGGGGTTAGTGGGTGCTCAACTTTACTGCATGCGCCGTTGCTTGCTTCCACCCAGAGTTCACATTCCCTCTCCTCCAGCCGCCGGTCAGCGGCGTCATAGACGGTCGATCCACTGACTCAGTTCACAAGGTGGTTGCCACACCGTACGACCACGGCTGAGCTATACGAATTGAGATACTCATACACATGGTCTGAATGGTACCCAGTACTTGTACAGCGTCTGCGTTATCCCCAGCCGAGGCGGGCGACTGGCCCCCGGGGAGGGCGGATAAGCTACAGGAGCTCGGATTCAGGGGTAGGGACGGGGTGCGTGCGGAAGATCGGGACGGGGTGCGTGCGGAAGATCGGGACGGGGTGCGTGCGGAAGATCGGGACGGGGTGCGTGCGGAAGATCGGGACGGAG